CTGGTAAAACCTGGTTCAGCCGAGCCACTTCGTGTGTATTGCGGTTTTGGTATGTTCGCCGTGGGGTGTGGCAGGGGTTGGGACGGGGATTGCAGTTCCAGTCTGAGTGACTAGGCGGGGATGGAGGTGGTTGTGCTGTGCTAACGCAACATCAGCGTTTTAATTCTCAGATTTCCTGACCAAGTACCGACCCATGACCGCGGTATCGACTCTCATGCACGTCTGAACCCAGCGTACGAGCACGTGAAAGTTTTGGCGAGAAAATTGATAACTCGGGGAATAGGACTTCGGCGCGTGATTAGTTTCTTCTCTTTTCTTCCTTTGGTTTTTTCTTTAAATTTATCTTTTTTCACCTTAAAATTGCGGCATTTTTTTAATACGCATTTATTTCATTCGTTTTTTGTCGACACTATTCGAGCCATCCTACTGATCAGATCCAGTTGTGGTGCTGAATAGGAATGTGTACAACTTAATGGACCGAACCATCCCTGTTCACCAAATTTTTTGATACAAAACCTTATTTTTTTTTAAATAAATATTTTTTACACATACGATAATTAGCATCTGTAATTTGGCTACAAGAGGTTTTGACGGGGTCGAAGGGGGGAAGGGGGAGTGGGGAAGAGATCTGGGAAGGAGTTAAGGCACTTCTTGAGGGTAAGGGTTGAAAACTACCACAGTTTTTTTATGAAAACTGCAATCACAAAACCCAAAAAAGTTCAGTTTTGCATATTATAGTCCTTATCATGTCTCTGTTCTGAACTGCGGTCCTGCAGAAATCAAGTATCTGAGCAATTTCATTTTTGACGATCCCTTGCTTAGATAAAAATTTGTTATAAAACTTTTATTTATTTTTTCTGTAGAATTTTAACTAGAACATAACGGGAACGGAAAATTGTGTTTTATGTCTCGTACTTATTCGCCATTATGTTCTTGAAATTTCATTTTTATGCGTTTTGTGCCGTGTAACAGCAATACAAAACGCATATTGTCACGGGGTTGTCTGTGTGTGTTTTCGTGTGTGTGTGTGTGTGTTCGCAGCAGCTTATCCGCAACTTTCAACTCGAAAACCACAAAAGCTTGGAAGCTGAAAATTTAGGTGAACGTCCCCCACCTACGTGCGACCCCGCAAATTTAAATTCAGCCTCCCCGCACTCACGGGTAACACGCATGGCCCCATAAAAGTTTTGGCGAGGAGATTATTGTCTTGGGAACCGCAGAAGCTAAGAAACTGAAATTTTATGGGTATGTCCTCAGCCACCTGCGATCTAGGAAAATTTGAATCCAGCCTACCCATGCCGACGGCTAACATATACGACCCAAATATGAAACTTTTGGCGGGTAAATTATCTCGAGAACCGCGGAATCTAGGAAGCTGAGATTTTGGAGGTCTGTTCCCTGCCCACGTGCAACCCCTCAATTTTAAATTCAGAGCAGTGAAAATCATTAGCAGGCAATCGTTCAATGGACAGAATTGCACAAAACGCATGATCACACCGTCTACCCAAGTGCGCGCCGCTATTTATTTATCTTTCATCGTAGACCTGGTGTTTGAATAATTCGCCAGCACGCATCCACCTACGTATTTATAGACATTCATAGCAGCAGAGTCATATACAAGCACGTACCAATACGTGCTTACGCAAACACAAATACTTACATATACGCGCATAAATGCATACACACAGACATGCATGCACACACACGCATTCTTACATACATACATGCATATGTACATACACACATACATGCATGGATACATACATGCATACACACATACATACACACATACATATATACATACATAAATATGCATGTACACACACACACACACATAAATGCACACACACACATATGCTCACTGCGTAAAAAGCACTCTGATGTTGTCAGAAATGAACA